TTTCAAGTAAGGGCATTGGAATCCTTGTAGAACTGTCATTTAAATATAATTATATAAAATAAGAAATGGTTAATAAAGTAGTAGCCACAATTAACAGAAATATTTTCTAAAACTAACCTTAAATTCCTTTTCATTAAATGTTTGCCTGTATTTATTTATTTATTTATTATTTATTTTATTTTATTTTTTAATTTTTTTTTTTGGTGGTTGGCCAGTATGGGAATCTGAACTCTTGATTTTGGTGTAACAACACCATGCTCTAATCAACTGAGCCTAAATGTTTACCTGTAAACCTACTTTATATATTTCTTTTTTAAACAAAAAAATAGCACTCATAAAATTTTGAAACTAATGGTAGCAACAGTATATTTACTATTTGATGAATATGTAGTAATTACCTTACAGCTTACTTTTCAAGTTATCACTAAATGACTATAAAATGCCAAACCATCCACCTCAAGTTACTAAGGGGAAAATGGAGAAGTAAAGATTGATCTTGCAAATATTTAGGAAGTAAAATTGATGGGTCTTGGGGAGAAAACACGTTTTGGGAATCTAGGAAAGATGAAAATTACTCAATATTTTTACTTTAGCAGATGACATAGATTGTAGATTAGTGATCTGGAAATGCCATTTAGCCTTGTTTGACTTACTTTATAGAGTTGAGTCTCCCTTCACCCTCCCTCCAAAATGAGTGCACATTGATATTTTAGACTAAACATGTAATCTAATATTAAAAATAGAAAAAGGAGGTATTTTTCGTTTCTCTGAAAGACTGTGCTTCTAAAGTGATACATAATTACCATTCAGTAGTGGCATACAATCATCCTAAATCCCAGTGAATTCATTTAAATCTTATACCAATAATGAATTATTTTAAAAGAGAAGGAATGAAAAAATAAAATATAGATAGATGAGATAGACATATGCTCAATGACTATCTTGTATGATCCAAAGCAAAATGGCAAAATGGAAAAATTATAGCATTCTACTAGAACAGAACCACCTTTTCTAAATCAATCAGATATAGGTAGCACTTCTGAGTCATCTACTGTAAGAAAGAAACAGTATACTATAAATTAAACTTTAAGACACATTTTGAAGTAAAAAACTACAATAATTTATTACAAAAATTTCAAGCACCAAGGATCATAAAATTGTTAAATAACATGAAAATTTTTAGGAAACCACAAACCCAGGTTTATCATACATTACCTACCTTTCCTTGTACTGGGTTAGCAACTGATAAAGTTTTTCTGTTTCTCCACTTTCATACAGATAGTCTGCTTGTTCAAGGATTTCTTCAACTTCAAAGATTATAATAGAAAAAAAAAAGACACAACAAAGTAGGTCTTTCCAAGTAGGATAGCAATAATTCTAAGAAACAAACTATTTTATATGCAGGCAAACAAAATCAGATACAGAAATCACCAATAAGGATAAGAAATTCACCAATAAGAAAAGAAAATCTGAAACATCTATAACAGAAATAAGTATGAAGCTATCATAAAAAATGATTTACTGAAACCATGGAAAATAAAAAATTAGCAAGTTTATTCTGATAGTGACTGAATATAATACATACATTTTGAAATAATGAGAAAAGCAATTTCCTGTGAGGAATTTATGGTACATATACCCTCTACACACACAAAGTCTTTGTTTCTGTTGCTAAGTACTATCCATTATAGAAAATGATG